TGATAAAATTTCTCACTTTGATATGAGAAAGGCTGAATATTTTTGCAATTGAGAGAATATTGATTTCCACGGGGTCCTGGGAGTTCTTGAAGGTAAATAATTGAAATTAGGTGCTGGTGCAGATGTAATGTAAGTACACAATTAGAAAGGAAAATGGGATTTAAGACCATTACTGCAAGAGGAATTGGCTGCAGGAGGTAAGTGGTTCTGTTACAATTATATAGAGCCTTGGTGAGACACACCTAGAGGTCAGCAGATTGATCCCAGGAGTGTACTAGAAGGAGGTTGAGGAGACCGGGCTTGTATTCTCCAAAGTTTTGAAGGTCAAGAGGTACTCTTAATGATGAATACAAACATTTTATAGGACTCAACAGAATGGATGCAGGAAGGATGTTTCCCATGGTTAGATGTGGGGAACAGGGTTGCAGTAAGGGTTTAGAAAAATGTATAAAGGCTCAGAATAAGTGGTCGGCCATTTAGAATGAAATTCTTTCCTCAGAGCTGATGAATCAATGGAATTCCCCACTGCAGAGGCATGTGGACGAAAGTAATTTTGAGACAGACTGCAACAGATTTCCATGTATTAAAGACATCAGGGGATATGAAGATAATGTAGGAGAACAATATTGATGTGGAAACTCAGCCTGAATTGATCTAGTAACAGAACAAGTTCAAGAAGTGGATGGCTTATTCCTGTTTCTACATTTTTATAAGGGAACAACTAATTCATGGAGAGTTATAGGGTGAGAAAAGGGTACGAAGTATGGAGGATAAGTTCATTGAAGGATCACAGGCTGATTTATTCATGATGATGAGAATTTTAATATCAAACACTAATTGACTTCTAATCCAATGCAGGTCATGTAGTTTCCCAGTGCTACATGAGGAGGACGGATGATAATGGGCAGCAGAGTTTTTGACCAGCTTGAGTTTGTGGAGTATGGCCAACTAATCATTAGAATGATCAAGTCTTCGAATAACAATTACATTGGTAAAATACTAATCTACATGAGTTGAAAATGCGTGTTTGAGTGAAAACCATTTTAGATATTTATATTTCAGATAATATACTTTTCATAATCTGTATATACATACCATTGCCATCTGATGTATTTCTTGTCCCATTGTGAAAATCAACACAAGTGCAGTTTAGGGAAATCATTCAGGTCATTACATTTAACCTGCTAATCCATTATTCCTGTGCTCACTGACCTATGTGAGCTTCCAGTTCAGAAAAGTCTCAATTATAAAATTCTTTTTAAATTCCCATATGGCGTCACCCTCTCTATCCTTATAACATTCTCCAGCCCAACAAACCTTCAAGACGTTTGCGCTGCTTCAATTCTGGCTTTTGGTGCATCCCTGATTTACATTGCGTAGTTGCCATTGACGGAGCATACAACTATGGACGATCTCAATATTGGAATGTACTCCCAAAACTTTCTGATAGTCTTCCTGTTTTAAGGTAATCTTTAAAACCCACCTCTTTGACTAAGCTTTTGGTCATTTACTCTAAAAGACCATGGTTTGTTAACACTCCGGTGATGCACCTTCAGATGTTTTACTATGTTAACGGCACTTAATAACATGCACTGTTAAATTTAAAAAAAAACTGACTAGCTCTAGAACAGTAGATGCCATACCTGAAACTTAAATTAGCTATTTGTTTTTAAAAAGCTAATCTTGATTTGTTCCTTTCTGAATATCGAATAACTTGTTCGAAGCCTGATCCAGGTGTTCAGTTTTAATACGTTAGTTGCTTCTTTAGTGAGCAGTTCTTATTAAAACCTCTAGGTGGAGCACCACTTTTTCACCACCGTAGTTCCAGGCTCTCTGCACGGCTACAGTCTGATGATTACACACAGTGTCGCTCACCATCTCATTTCATCCCTTTGAATACTAAACCAACATGTAAACTGATACAGGAAAATATAAAGTTTGCAAGTTCAGTTCACAACTGGAGTCTGTTAACATAGCAAATTAACTGCATTAAAAAAACACATCGGAACAAAAATACCTTTGAGTAATTGCTTCTTTGGTAGAAATGAAGAGAAAATCGGAGTACATCTGAACCAGACCATAAAAGTCAATGCATAGATAGAAACACATGATTCGAGATGGACTATTAGTCATTGGTAAAGCTACTGAAAGCTTTTTGAGCTTCATTTTGTTTGATCTTTCCGAACCAATACATAATGTTGAATGGCAGTATGTATTTGTAGTAGTGGATGACATTGCTCAAGTTAAGATGATCAACATACAGTTCCTACATGCGACAGACCATTCTGCTGCTCAAATGGAATGACCACTAAAACAATTAGGTTAATATAGGTGACAGTTGAGCTCAATTGAAGATTTAAGTGGTTTTTACGTCAATGAGTTGCTTCATTTCTCTTTTTGAAGATGGTTTTGTTTCAGATTAGTGGTATTTGGCGATGAGGAATGGTTAGCTTTTAAAAAATCGTTATCTCCCATATTTATTCCAGCACGATATATATTCTAAAGGCTTAATACAATACATGCATTCTTCATTCCACTTCAGCATCTCCTTTATTAATATATCATGACTGCTGGGCAGCTACAATTTAAGTCAATGTGTGGTGGAGGGGAATGTAACTTCATTAAGATGCTGAGAGACAAATCCAGGTGATCCAGTTGCTGCAGTTTGAAACTTAGTGAAAATAAGGTGCAAGTGTTAAGATCTGAACACAAAGTTTGCACAATCATAGACAGAACAAGACTAAAAAGTTTTACAGAAGAAAGCCAACAGCATCTGCCACTATGCAAGGTAGAAGAAATGGCCGATTTTGGGTCAACATTCAAATAATACACTAGTGAGAATGGAAACCATGTTTAATTCAGAAAAGGATCCTGAAGAGTTGAAGACCACAGATCACCAAGGGTATCTTGTAATGGAAAATCCAATCAATTATGCTCAAAGGTTTGAATGAATGAGACATTTGACAGGATACTGGAAGGTCCACACTGATGAAGATATTCTGTTACAGCCAAGAGTAGCTTTGGGCTTTAAATACAAGACAATTCAGCCAAGAATATAATGTAACATTTGAATACTTGGAGAGTTTTTTGATTGTTAAGAAATTACCAGGAAGACTCTTCCATTGTTACTTAGTAGTCAATACGTACAATTAATGTTTCATCAACGTTGAATTTAATTTTGTCACAGTAAAGGTCTTAAAATATGATATCTTGTCACATGATCTTTTCCTTAAGTCAGTGGGAAATTCACAGCTCTATAGTTTACTGGTCTCCAGAGGAATGATGTTTTATTTGGCATCCACTTAATTAGCTGCAATAATATATTCACAGCAATAATTACCAAACAACCTTTGTCCCTAACATTGGTTGATGGCTAAACAACGTTAAGGGTACTGGGAACAAAGGCCCTTAGTGCAACATTTCACTGAAAGATGGCATCTCTGACATGATAAATCTCCTCAGAACTGGAGTGTCAGTCTAGATTGTGCATTTGAGTCTCTGAAGTAAGACTCAAACACACAAACATATGATTTAGTGGTCAGATTGCTGCCACTGCGCAAATCATAACCAAAGATGAGTCATATGCAAATAATAAAACTGCCAGTGAGGAATTACAAAGAAGATACAAAAACAATAAATCAAGTGCAACCTAGCTGCATAATCCACTGACAGAGAATGGAAGGACTGTATATATTTTTTGAAAATATTTTCCGTTGCCATCTTGGTTTCTCCAATAAGATGAGATTAATGGAAGTAATGTTGAATTTAATGGATTGAATCATAGAATCATGACAGTGTGGAAGCAGGCCCATCAAGTCCACACTGACCCTCAGAAGAGCATCCCAGCCATCTCCACTACCCCCTCCTATCCGTGTAACCCTGCATTTCCCAAGGCTGCCATATCCACCTAACCCCTGCACATCTTTGGTCTGTGGGAGGAAACCCATGCACACATGGGGAGAACGTGCAAACTCCACACTGACAGTCACTCTTGGGTGGAATTGAACCCGGGTCCCTGGCACTGTGAGGCAACTGTGCTAACCACTGAGCCACCGTGCCGCAAGATAAGCTAAAACCCAGATTAATGTTGTGTTTGAAATGCCTTTATACACATTTTCTACTCCATGCCTTTTTTGAGAAGTATGAAGGTGGAGCTTACAGTGTTTGAGACCTCTCAGTAACTGAAGAGACTATACAGACAATAAGCTACAATACGCAAAGTGCACCACAACATTGTCTTAAATATCTGCCCCTCCCCCATCCCCATTCTGTCAGATATTGAGGAACAATATAACAGCATAGAAAGCGGTTCAAATGTTTGTGTATAAAGTAACTGAAAAGAGGAGACTGGCACTTTCGTCTTTTCCTGAGGTAACTTGGTTAAGTACAGGCAACTTTCTTCAATGAAATGCTTATATTGCAAGTGAATGCTACCTGAGCAAGGATTAAAAAAAAGTTATTTGATTCCTATACTTGCAATGTAAAAGCAGATTTTATATATATGAATTCTGGAAGGATGAGTCTGAAGGTTTTATTTTCCTGAATAAAGGAAACCAATTGTCAAAGTTTTTTGTTTTGTACTCATCAGGGTGAATGTAAGGTTGCCAGTTTTCAACATTTGATATTTTTGCATTTGTGTTGATGAAAAGAAGATGGCAACATGAATCTCTTTACAGCAATGTTCAAGTTTTGTATTCCCATATGACTGTTAATGCAGATTGCAGAGCACTGGCGATATGTACTAAGCACGAGAACGTATGTGGAAAGATCTAGGTTTGAGATTACAATAAACCAGTTTACATTCACAGCAAACATTGGGTAAATTATCTCACTCTGTAATAGTATTTCTGCAGTTTTTCAATACAGTTGCACAAATTGTATGCATTTCTAACCTATATTTTAAACCTACTTCCTGGACGGATAGACAATGAGTGCAATTTACTTTTGTAGCATTTTGTAACTTATCTATGGATCTGTGGTGTATGAAGAGCACAAAAGTATTTGTCTTCCTGCAGTGAGTGAAGGACATATTTATTTTCTCAATCAAAAAATACATCACTGTCTCTAAAGAGACCTCTTGCAAGTTTCTTTCCAAATCCATTAAGCAGGGAAATTCACTCTGCTCTCAATAACAGTATAACCCCTGACTCAATGAGACCAATTACCAATTACACATTAAAAACAATTTACTTTTAATCAACATACCTTGCAAAGATATGACCACAGATGGTTGACTATCCGATCAGAAACAATATGATGTAGGTAACAAATCTTTACACTTCCATTTAAAAAAATCTTTCAAACAATGCGCATAATGCTAACAATGGTGTGAACTACATTTACTTTGGAGCTTAAGTAGCAGAATAAATCCTTTTACACTATAATTTCTCTTGCCCTACTTTTAAAAAAAAGTAAACCCGACCGTGGACCATTTTGTTCTGCTGTACATATTTATTATGTTCATTAAAAAACATAATATAAATAAAATATTTAATTTGATTAAGACAGTTACAATCGGATTCCAATCTATTCATCACATTAATTAATTATTGCAGGTCAAAGTGACAGCAAATAAAAGCTGGAGGATTACTTTACACATTGACCATACTCTTAACTTTTAAAAAATTCTCTCATGGGATGTGGGTGTTGCTGGCCACGTCAGCGTTTAATGCACATTCTGAGACAACAGCGTGCCCTGCTGAGATATCTCTGATGGAAGTTAAGAGTCAACTGATTTGCTGTGGGTCTGAAGTCACATAAATGTCAGACCAGGTAAGGATGGCAGATTTCTTGTCCTAAATGACATTAATGAACCAGATGGGACTTTACAAAATCCAGTAGTTTCATTGTCCCCATTACTGCTCCTTGTTCGTTTAACTTTGTACTTATTTAAATGGATGAATTTAAATTTTCCAGCTCCAGGGGTGAAAGTAGAACTTTTAACTCTGGATCATTAGTCCAGGCCTCTGGACTATGGGTCCAGTAACATAACCACAATTTTATACAGCCCCTCACACAGTTACTAATGCATAAATAGACATTTATATCTAAGGGTTGCATTGTTGGCATAAGAATTTCAGCAAAGCGTGAAGATTCATGTAATTTCATATTCACATGAATATAGACTATTTATATGTTGTGACCTTCTGAACTGTGCAGAAACAATCTTTAAGTTTCACTGAAGCGATTGAATGGTAGTTACTATTCTATCCTTTGTGTTAACAATCTGAGATGATGAAAAACCAACTTAGTTGCAACTGTTAATAACATATTGATGCAATAAATAGATTTTGCAATAATATGAGCTATGGTTTAGATAGTAGTCCTTTAGTCCTTTCATAAATTTCCATGATGTAACTCAACACGAGTCTAGGATGTTTCTAGGCAATCAGTTTCAAAGGACATATTCAGCATCATTAGTTGTTGACAGACTATGCCTGTAGTTTAGCCAGACTTCATATATGCAAACAATGTATCTTGGGCATAGGAACATGAAATAATACGGAAAGATAACTCGAACGTGCAATATAAGCTGTCACTTCTGAAGCTCTGAACAAAGTGTCACTGTTAAATAGAAATCTTTGGTCAGAACAGAAATGTCTTCAATACATTGTAAAGTGTGATAGGATGTCTTAAAAAGTACTCCAACAGATTAATGTTTTGAAAAGCCTTCAAAGTAAGTGCAGTTCACTGTAATGCCACATTCTTAGGAAAATTTGTTTTATTATTTTCTGGAACAACACAATTGAATAACATTTTTACACTTTGTTTTAAGGAAACACATTTGTTGTGCAAATCACTGGCCACTGATTATATAATAAATCCTGAATTCCCCTTGGTAACATTACCAGCATTTTAATTTGTTATCAGTGTGCTTATGTAATGGAGCAATGGGATACTTACAGGGTGTGAGGCTGTAAGATACTGTTAAAGGAGAGCTCAGGGAGATCGGAAGACACATTATGAATTTATGGGTGCAACGTACAAGTTGAAAATACAATTTAACCCCTGTGAAGGTCCTATAAGTGTTGATTTCATAAACCTGGCTTGTATTCCCTGGAGTTTAGAAGATTGAGGGTTGAACTCATTGAGATATTTAAAATGTCATAAAGAGTCCAAAGGTTGGATACAGATAAACCATTTACCCTAATGAGTGAATTAAGATCAAGCGGCATAAAATCTAAGCTAGGCGAGTTAGGAGATAAATCAATAAGCATTTTTTACTCCAGACAAAGGATAGCAGACATCTGGAACTTTTTCCCCCAAAAGGCTGTGGATTCTGAGATAATTGGAGCCTGTAAAATTGAGACTGATATATTCATGTCAAGGGATATGGAGCAACAGTGGGTAAAAGCAGCGGAGGTATAGATCCACCATGATCTACTGAATGGCTGAGCAGACTACAGGGGAAGAATGGTCTATTTACATTCCTAAGAAGATGATGAAACCAATTTTCATCTTACAGTACAAAATCATACACAGTAGTATGTTGAAATGCCAGGAGTCAGACCAGTGCAGTTCATGAAGATTCATCAACATGACACAGGAATACACTTGGATAATTTCTAAAGATCTCTTAATAAAAATGAAAGTTACCCTTGCATTTCTGTTTGAACTTTGTGGTGAGCCACGTTTTCATTTTCAAATAGAGATTTCTTGCAGGTCAACATGAGGAGCAATAACATAGGGAGATGCCAGAGGCTGCAAAAGAAAAGTTTTCGGGCACTGTTGCGATTTGAGTCCCTGTAAAATCGATAGCCGAGGTAGCTGATATACAAGTTGATTGGGAGTGAAATAAGTGGGAAAGTCCACGTAGTTACATCAAAGACAGAACACAATGTTGACAATCCAATGAGAGCAATGCAGTGGCGGAATGCCACTCGTTTGCATAGCAATGGATGTGTGACTGACATCATGCGGTAGCCACCTCGTGAGTAATCTTCTCGAAGATTCCAGCTTAAAGCATTGAAATGTGGGAACTGCCAAGAATACAGGATTCCACCCAATAGCAAGGCACCTAAACAGAGGAACAGGGAGGTGAGTATAAAATTTCAAACAAGATAAGCTTTTCTGAAGTGAATAATTTCCAAAAAGTTTAACTTCTGCACATCAAATGTTTTTGCACACTTCCTTGCTTGATAATTCCTCAATATTACAAGCTGAAGCTCTTTACAAGTGACAAAATCAATTTTAGACCATTCTTTCACACATTTCAATGTCCAGTTACACATTGGTTTTCATGTATGAAAGCCAGATAAAATTGTGTTGTAGTACTTAAAAAATGTGAGTAGATGAATTGTTCAACTTTTAGATCCATAACTTCATTTTTGGCTAAAGGTATCAGAGGAATATCAACCATGAGTGTTGCCAGTGCATCATAATTATTGCCCATCTATTTTGTCACTCTCACTGGAACCTGTAAGAACATTAGGTAAGATAAACTGGTGCTGCTATTTTGAACTGTTCTTAAATAGAAAATGCTCTCATGAGCACTAGGACAGCGTGCCCCATCTTGTAACTCTATTATAATTGCTGGTAAGGATAAAAATTTCAGAGTTAAACCATCATCAGTCATCTCTTTCTCATGAGAGAGCAGTCCTATGGTCCTCTGGGACTCTGGTGACTTTTATCTTTACCTTGTGTCTTCAAAACATGGGAGAACTAATAGTCATTACTACAAGAAAATACTTGATCAATACAATCATGAAAATTTGTTTTGTCTGCTTTACTTGAACACATCTCTAAAAGGTAAGCGTAAAATTCCATTGTCTCATGTAGTTGGATTACTGGAATAATCTAAACTCTCAGCAGATCCATTACACATTAGATCCCCCTTGCATTTAAAATTAAATCCATTTCAAATATCAAATTACAGAATCATCGAAATGACAGTCCACGGAGCCATTCAACTGTGTCTGTACTTGGCCCCAAAAGAGCTCGTGCCATTCTCCAGCCCCATCTCCATAGCCCTCTAAGTTAATCACTTTTAAAGATAAATTCAGGTCTATTTTGAAACTTTGTATAAAATGTGCCTCCACCACTGTCCTAGGCAGTGCATTCCAAAACCAAACAAGCCTCGGACTTAAGATTCTCTTCATCTCACTCCTTGCTCACAATGTTGAAATTCTAATCCCTAGTTACTAATATATTGTCTAATGGAAACAGAACATCCTTCTTTATCTTGTCAAATTGTTCACAATTTTGAACAGATCAACAAGTGATCAAGAACAATGGTTAAAAATTTAACCATTGCTAAAAACCAATTTTGAGAAAATGCTAAGCTGTTATAGATGTAAGTGTCAATATAAAACTAGGGCTGTTTAATGATACGTACAGAGTACAAGGACTTGCATTCAACACTACACACAGCAAGCTAAGAATCTCAATTGAACCCTTCGGAGAAAGCAAAAAGTTGAGGTGATGTGTTGCTCTGTATTGAGGGAGGGAAAATGAAATGCAGATTCAGGCTAAGTTGATCTCTGTGCTATACATGAGGGTACCTGGGTGGAGATATAACCATCATCTATTATGGTCACTTGCAAGCAATATCGAGTGGTGTGGCAGAGGTTAGAAAAAAAGTAAATCACATCAATTCTTGAGGGTAATAAAGCAAATAAGAACTGAAGAGCTAATGGCTGGTTTAGGGAAATATCAGTGTTTTGTCTAAATATTATTACTTGAGGTATTACCTCAGCAATACCAAAGCAAGGTCCTTAAAAGGCAGGACTAATTTTATTTTTCTTTTCGTGAGAAATATTGAAGATTCCCAAAACAGGACTTTGATCTTATGATAACTGGCACAGTTCCAAATAGTGCTCACTGTCCCAGTGTGAATAATTTAATACTATCACTGTGAACGTCATGTAAAGAAACTAATGTCACTTGTTCGAGAAAAGCACAAACTCGTCTCTAATACATTGGACCTATGACTATCCGTCTCTAGTCATGGGGTCCATGTTAATTAGGCATTGTGACTAATGTCAAAATTCTGAAAATTCAATTCTGGAACAACTCAATTTTAATTTTTCCCTGGCACAATATTAAATTCTAGGAGCCAAACATTTCATAGTGGACACAAGTCGCTGCACAATTTCATGGAATACTGACGGAATTCAAAGAGAGTTTTAAGGAATACTTTTTAATATTAAAAATATATCAGAAACAGAATATTTGGCGAGCAATTATAAAGTACTACATTTGAGGGAGATTTTGATAATTCAATCATTTTATTATAATTCTGCTCACTTAAAAGATATTCTATAATTATTCACAGACTATCCTCATTATAGCTCATAACACGGAAGTGACAGGATGCACAAGAGTCATTAGTCCTGTTTACATTAGTAGATGGAACAACTATCTGGTCAGTGGGGTTGGTGGAGCCTGGAGCTGCCCTGTTTATATTACAGCCTCAGAGCAGAGCAGCACTGATGACAGATTATGAGTTGCATATGCTAGTTTCACTTGGAAACATGTCAAAGGCTACAATGTGTCAGATACTTCCAACAGTATTCAGCTGGCTTCGCTGTTGCTAGGTAGCTCAAAGGCCATCACAGTGAGGCCACATGAGGTAGCAGTTTATACAACACTTATTCTGATGTCAAACTATTATAAAGCACAGAGAAGAGAATGCTTGTGCTTCCATAGTGATTGTGCCACAAATACCACGCATATAAAGTCAACTGATGGTGGAATATGACCAAAATGAGTCGAAATTCAACCTTTTAATAATTTAAATCTGAATTACTAGCAGTGTGATATTGGTTTATTACATTTATTCACTTTTTTTAGCAAGTACCAATTCAAATACATATCTTAAGTGTTTGGTGAAGTCAGAAACAATGTCCCTTCACTCTATTTGCTCTGTTCTAGTAGATTCAGAAGAAACACAATTTATTGTTTAAACAAAAATGTTTTTAGACAACACTAAGGGAGCTTGTATTGCTGAGAACCAGATGTATAAAAATGACTACATCTAGTCAAAACTTTCCATACAATTTAAATAAATTTCGCAGGGTCACAACATACGAGAGATATGATTTTGCCACAAACCTGAATCCATTCAGCATTCAATGGGCAACAAGCATTAGAGATTGAATGTGACTAATGACAAGGCTATGTAGAATGTCCTTTATCAATGCATTTCAGACAAAGTAGTAGTTGCTTCCAAGATTGTAAATTGCAGCATTAATATCATTAACAATTGCAGTAATAGCTGTGTTCCCTGGAATATTGTTGATCTCAGGCCACCAAGGCAGCGCGCTGCTGCTCTTCTGATGAGACACCACCCACTATGAGAAAATCTCCTTATCTGATTAACAATTAATGATAAGGCCATCATGTGTCCACAGGGACCACCTTACATCAGTTGCTGGGTGGTTTGTGCATTTGCTATAAACCTTAATTTATGTCTTGCCCAATTCACTAGGTTTGGGTATGGGAATGATGTGACATTTAGTAACAAGTGGGTCAGGTACAATCTATGACTCAAATTTATGCCAGGAATGCATTCATTCCTCTGAATAGTTGCATACATTATACCATTTTTCTCAACTAAACCTCAACTCAGGAAATAGGCACATTTAGAAACAATTACAGGATGACTATTTACTGAACTATAAGGTTGATTTTATACGAACAAAAGTCCAACAAAGTGCATAGACATTTGAATGTGAATTGATTAGTTTAATCACAAAACATTGGCTGTTTGATATATAGTAACTAACCAACTTACAACACACACTCTACTATCAAACTGTTAATATATTTTGGGTTGTAGCTCTATGCTATAGAGCTCAGGAATGTAAATCTTTTCGATTGTTTACAAAATAACTGAACTAATACAAACTAGGTAACAATTTTCTGCAATACTGATTAGTCTACTAAAATAAATCCATGCCCGAGTGATCATAACATAATTTTGGAAGATGATTGTTCAGCTATCCTTTGTAAATCCATTTTTTTTTAACAATTCGATGTTGGAATGTGGGTATCACTTATTGCCCATTCTTAATTGCCACTTGATCTGAATGGCTTTTTTGGGCCACTTCAGAGGGCAATTAAGAGTCAATCACATTGCTGAGGATCTGGAATCACATGTACACCAGACCAAATAAGGATGGTAGATTTCCTTCCCCAAAGAACGTTCATGAACCAGTTGGGTTTACATGGCAATTGACAATGGGAGCCATTTGGCTAGTACAATTCCAGATTACTGAATCCAAATTTCACTATCTGCCGTGGTGTGATTTGAACATTAGCTTGGGGTCTGAACTACTAGTCCAGTGACATCATCACTATACCACTGTCTCCTCATAGTACCTTTTAATTGGTTCATGAATAAATTTAAGTTCTCCACCCACGTGAAGTTCAACTCCTATGTTAATTACGCACCATATTGAGAAAAAGCTGTGGTGTAGGATCTAGCTCTGTCCTAAATTATTCCAAGGGACCAAGAAGGAATACCAAATTAAACAGAATATTGGGAGAGATGGACAGCATTGGAATAGGGAACACTATGTTAATAGGTGGAGTCAGAGAAAAGGAAAAATAATAAAGTTTAAAATCAGGGTTACTGTGCATGTATGTGAACATATGGAGTGTGATACAGTGGTAAAATTGTTGAATATGGCATTAAGAAGAATGTCTCATTAGGATCAAGGTCAAAATCAATTTGGCTAGAGCAAAGGAACAAAAATCTGTTCAACTTCATTGCTTTCCATAGTATATAAGTCACCTACTAAGTGGAAACAAGCAAAGGGACAAATTTTTCAAGAAAAATTATACAGCAATTGTAATGGAGAACTCAATTATTTCAATTTAAACTTTGATCATAGTTGCGTAAAGGACAGATGGGGCAGGCATTCCTCGACAGGCTCAGGAAAATTTTCTGCAACACCATGTTTCCAGGCCAATGGAAGAACAGAAATTGCTGAGCTTTGTTCTTGGGAATGAGGTAGGCCAAGCAGATCAAATTACAGTAGGAAAACACTTAGGGTACAGCGATTATTGTATCATAAAGTTTAGGTTGACCATGGAAAAGGACATTGAACAATCTAGAATAACAATAATAAAATGGAGGAAAACCAATTTCAACAGGGATAAGAATGGATGTGGGACAATGGACTTGAACCAAATGCTGGGAAGCTAAAAGAACAAGGAAAATGACCTGAACAGTGGGTTACCTTCAAAGCAGGGATGGTTTAGGCTCAGTTAAAGTGTATTCCCATGAAAGTGATACATAGGGCAAAGAAATCCAGAGCTTGCTGGGTGATAACAGTCAGAAATTAAGACAAATATATTAGGTAGAAAATACAATTGTCAACCAAGCTGAACATAGAAGGATCAAGTTGGAGGTGAAAAAGAAAATAAAAGAAGCCAAGGCGTATGAGAAAAGACTGGCAGCTAACCGAAAAAAAAGTATCTCAAAATCTTCTAGAGTCACACAATTGGTAAAAGGGTAGAAAAGGAAGCATGAAGCCAATTAGGGACCAAAAAGGGGATTTACACATGATGGCAGGGCCTAACTGAATATCACATTAGTACTTTACATCCATCTTTATTAAAGATGCTGCTGCATAAACTTGAGAAAGGGAAGTTAATTGAAATAACCATAAGGTTTATGATTTATAAGAGGTATTAGATCAGCTGTCTATACGTAAAGTTGATAAGGCATAGGATAGGATGAGATGCAACTAAGGACTCTGAAGAGTGACAGTGACAGAGGCACCAATCATAAACTTTCAGTCTTCCTTAGACTTGGGGGGCTGCTAACATTGTGCCCTTGTTCAAGAGAGTATGCAAAGATAGCCCAACAACTGTAGGTCACTCAGTTTAACTTTGGTGTTTGGATACTTATGAGAACAAAATTCAGGACAAAATTAACAGCAACCTGGACAAATATGGGTTAATTAAGGAAACTCGGCAGGGATTTCTTAAAGGAAAATCATGTTTAGCTTGCTGGAATTTTTTGAAGAGGCAAAACAGGAGGTTGATGAGGGCAATGCAGTTCATGTGGTGTACATAGACTTCCAAAAGACATTGGATATATTGCCACACAACAGACATGTGGGCAAAGTTAAGCTCAGGAAATAAAAGCGACAGTAACAAAATGGATACTGAATTGACTGAGTGATAGGTAGTTAAGAATAAGAGTTAATGGATATCCTTCAGGTTGGAAGACAGTTTGCACTAGAGTTCCCCAGGGGTCAGTGCTGGAACCCTAGTTTTTTGATATATATTAATAACCTAGTCCTTAGTGGACAGGACATAATTTTAAAATTTGCAGATGATGCAAAACGTGGAAACATTCTGAACTGGGGGGAGGTTAGTGTGGGACTTCGAAAGGTCATGGACAAGTTGATGGAATGGGCAGACAGTTGACAGATGAAATCCAATGTGGAGAAATGTCAGGCGATTTACTTTAAATCATAAGACATAGCAACAGGAGTAGGCCATTTAGGCACTCGAGCCTGCTTTGCCAATCAATAGGACAATGGCTGACCTGACATTCCTGCATGTTCTCCATAACCCTTGATTACCCTACTGATCAAGAACTTTCTCACTCTTAAATATACACAAGGATTCTTCCCCCACAGCTGTCTGTGGCAAAGAATTTCAAAGACTCTCAATCTTCTAAGAGAAGAAATTCCTCCTCAGGTCAATCTTAAATTGACGCCGCTTTGTTCCGAGACCATGTCCTTTCGTCCTAGACTCTATCTCAGCATTTAGGATTCTTAAGGGGCTTGTCAGGCTATGTTTCAATGAGATCACTTTTCATTTTTCTAAACTCCAGCGGGTAGAGTCTCGACCTGTTTAGCCTTTGCTCATAAGGCAATCCCTCCATACCAGGGATCATCTTCGTGAACCTTCTCTGAACTGTATCCAATGAAATGATATCTTCTTTTAAAAAAGACTGCTTACAGTACTCCAGATTTGGTCTCACCAGCACGTCGTGCAGTTATAGTAAGACTTCGCAACTCTTATACTTCAACCCATTTGAAATAAAGGGCCAACATTCCTTTAACCTTCGCGATTCCCTGCTGCACCAATGCGCTAATAACTTTGTGTTTCATGCACAAGTACCCCCAAGTTTCTCTGTGTTGCAGCTTCCTGCAGTTTTCTCCATTAAATGATATTCTGTTCTTTTGTTCTGCCTTCCAAAATGAATAACTTGACATTTTCCCACCTTATAACCCATTTGCTAACTTTATGCCCAATTACGTAACCTATTAATATTTCTCTGTAAACTGTTTATATCTCACTTGCAACCACTTTGGTAAGAAGAACAACAATAAATAATATAAAGTAAGGATACAACTCTTAAGGGAGTGCTGGAACAGAGAAACTTTGTGTGTGTGTGTGTGTGTGTGTGTAAATATATACATATTGTGTGTGTGTATATATATGTCACTAAAGGCAGCAATACAGATTGAGAGAATGGTTAATAAAGCATACAGCTTTAGGCTTTGTAAACAGGGGCATAGCATACAAGAGCAAGGAGGTTATTTTGAAATTGTATTCAACGTTAGATTGGCCTCAGCAGGAGTATGGCAACCAGTTTTGGCCACTACACTTTGGGAAGGATGTGAAGACATTGGAGAAAGTGTAGAAGAGGTTTATGAGAATGGCTCCAGGAATCAGGAACTTCAGTTATGAAGATATATTGGAGAAGTTAGGACTGTTCTCCTTGGAGAAAAAAAGATTAAGGGGCAATCTGATGTGGTATTAAAAATCATGAGGGAGCAAGACAGTGAGATAGTCAGAAACTGTTCTTACTTGTGAAAGGATTATGAACAAGACGGCAGAGATTTCAGATAATTATCAAAAGAAGCGAAGGTGATGTGAGAAAAACAACTTTTCCAGGTGAGTGGTTAGGGTCTGGACCACACTGCCTGAGAATGTTGCGGATACAGGTTTATTGAAGCAGTCAATGGGGATTAGACAGCTGAAAAGGAGAAATGTGCAGGCTTATGGGGAGAAGGCAGGAGAATGGCACCATAAAATGCTCAGAGAGTAAGTGCAGGCATTATGGACAGAATGGGCCTCCTTCAGTGCTGTAGCAATTCTGACAGTGTGGGGTTAGACTAGGTCTATCAGCCATGATTCGATGTCCTGTTGCCATGGAAATAATTCCTTCTTAAACTGCTCTTCCTGCTCATCCTAAAAGCATTATTCATATTTACAATCAATATTGATGATTATTCCAAAAATGACCCTCAATATACATTCAATGCACATCCTTTCCTTTCCCAGAAATACTTTTCATAGGACAGGCTATACAAAGGACTTACCTGCGCTGATGGTGCCAGTGGCTGCTGTCCAGCCCATGATTGGAGGAATAGCTCCAACCACAGAGCCTACCCAGGTGTTAAGTATACTCAATCGCTTCATTGGGGTGTAGCAGCACGTGTAGAGGAAAATGTTAAAGGCTCCTAATGCTCCAGTCAGTGGGTTAACTCCAAGAGTCAGTAGAGCTATACCAGGCACACTGCAGGCGACTGCAAAAGACACTGCATGGAGTGGACTGAGGGTTTTAAAAAGAAACATAAATCAATAAATTGCAGAAGTTATATCTCTTATACAGTTCCACTAGTATTCCAGAAGAAAAGAAAACTAATCATTAAATGCTGATCTCTATCACTACATTAGATTTCAATGTTGATTACCAAGTAGAAATTTGCCTGCTCTCTATACCACCATGCCCCTGTCCCCTACAATAATGTGATCATAATTAAGTCACTGGGGCACATTTGTGTCATGTACTTTTGTCTAATCTGCAATTATGAATGTCTGAATCTGTCATGTTACTTTCAGTTTCTATCAGAATAATTAATCTTGTGCACATTGACAGTGGATAAGTTAGAATTTGACTGACTAAAATAACCAGCATTACAGGTAGTTCTGCTATAACATGTGTTTCGTTAACGCCAATTGGCTGTAACACGATTGATGAATAGTGGACACTGTTTGGATAATGCAAACATTCTGCTGTACAGGTAAGGCAATTTTCTATAGCGATTTCCCCATAACGCGATCTTCTATGGTGATTTCCTATACAGCAATTTTTCAATTGCAGGAGGTCACACAAGAACACAACTATCACGTCATAGGAGAACCACCTGTATTCCCTTAGTCATTTATGGCATAGAAGGAAGCCACCTTTAGCATCAAATCTATGCCATGTCTTCTGAATATTTCTCACAATTAGAAGGACTAAAGGTACTTTACAAGTTTACTTGTTAAGATACTAAGATTAGACAACACTTACTTATTGGCATATCTCCACGAGCCATGAGGACAAAACATTATGGGAGGGTACTATGTACAGGCTATACTATGATTTACTTAGACATGAAATATACTGTAAAGGAGGCTAACTAGATATTAACTGCACTATAATTAAGTGTGCTGTGGATGTTGACTTGATGTTGCCTATGTATAAAGCAGGTAGGTTTTCAGCAGGACCTAATTAAATTACACTTGGAATTCCCAGTTGCATCGACTTGTGGACGTGAAATTGTAACTTTATTGTTCTTTTTGCATTGAAATGTTGCAATATTTCTATCTGCTCAGTGTTTCTCACAATGACTTGTTGAATTCACCAAGTAACGGAGCCAAACGGGTGAATTCCAAGATTAAATCCTAATCTGATCTACCAGATTTCAGCAGATCAGATTCACACTTCTCATTGCCACCCAGCCAAAGATGGATACATTTGTGTGTTGGCAAAAGACAGGATCCACTTTAGCTATGAGCCTGTAGTTAAATGCCTGTTCAGAGTTAATGCTGAGGTAGATGTTTGGATGAACTACTACGTACTTTTAGCAGTGGACAAAAGAAAGTTTAAACACAAGGGACCTTAAACCACTGATACAGCAGATACTAGGAACACTGATCAGTAACTTAAGCAGCACAGTACCATGATGGCAAGCAATTGCTTTTGAGGTCACTATACGCTTGGAAAGCTAATTCATACAAATGCGTCAAACCAGATTTGAAGTCCTTTCACATCACTGGTATGTATCTGCTGAAGATTTGAATGTTGTAATGTTTGTGTGGTGACACATCATGATCTGTGAAACGTACAGACTTTAAAAATAATATTTAAAAAAATGACTTGAACTTCTGAAGTTGTAAAGTAAGATATGTGGAATCCAACTTGTATAGAGTTATGCCCAAAAAAATAGAAATCTGATACTGACAAATTAATTCTCTTTTTGATGTTGATTAAGGTATTAATATTGGTAGGATATCAGAGGTAACTGCAGGGAGGGGACCTCAGCTTAATGTTCCATTTGAAAGATAGCACCTCTGACAATACAGCACAGTCTCAATACTGCACTGAAGTGTTAGCCTGGAATTTTGTATTCAATTCCCTTTTCTGCCTCATAGCGGGACAGTGCTATCAACTGAACCATGGCTGACACCATGTTCAAATTTCTGATATCTATTTAAAGGCCACCGACTCCCACAGCTACCTAGAATATGCCTCCTTTCACCCACCTTCCTGCAAGAATGCCATCCCCTATTCCCAATTCCTTTGCCTCCGCCACATCTGCTCCCAAGATGAGGTGTTCCAGTCCCGGACATCCCAGATGTCCTCGCTTTTCAAGGACCACAATTTCCCCCCAACAGTGGTCGAAAACGCCCTCCACCGCATCTCTCGCATTTCCAGCACTCAGCCCTCACATCCCCTCCCCGCAATAACAACAAAGACAGAATTCCCCTTGTCCTCACGTATCACCCCATCAACGTCCGGATTCAACGCATCATTCTCCGCCACTTCCGCCACCTACAATCTGAACCCACTACCAAGGATATATTTCCCTCCCCACCCTTATCTGCCTTCCGGAGGGATCGCTCTCTCCGCGACTCCCTCGTCTGCTCCACACTGCCCACTAGCCGCACCAACCCCAGCACTTTTCCCTGCAACCGCAGGAGGTGCCACACCTGCCCCTACACCTCCCCCTCACCCCCATCCCAGGCCCCAAAAAAACCTTCCACATTAAACAGGTGTTCACCTGCACATACGCTAACGTGGTCTATTGTATCCGCTGTTCCCGATGTGGCCTCTTCTACATCGGGGAAACCAAGCAGAGGCTTGGAGACCACTTTGTGGAGCACCTATGCTCGGTTCGTGACAAACGACAACACCTCCCAGTCACGAACCACTTCAACTCCCTCTCCCACTCCTTGGATGACATGTCCATCCTGGGCCTCCTCCAGTGCCACAACGATGCCACCCGCAGGCTGGTGGAACAGCACCTCATATTCCGTCTGGGAACCCTGCAGCCCAATGGTCTCAATTTAGACTTTACAAGCTTCAAAATCTCCCCACCCCCGATCTCGTCCCCGCCTCCTTGACCTGTCTGTCTTTTCTCCCACCTATCCGCCCCTCCCACCTCACTGACCAAACCCCACCCCCACTTCCTACCTACTAGCCTCATTCCCGCCTCCTTGACCTGTCAGTCTTCCCTCCAACCTACCCGCCCCTCCCTCCTCACTGACCAACCCCCCCCCATCCCAACTCCCCACCTACACTCACCTGTACTGGCTTCATACCTGCCTCCTTGACCTGTCCATCTTCTCTCCACCTATCTGCTCCTCTATCCACCTTCCATCATCGCCTCCCCCCTCTATATTTATTTTAGAGCCCCCTTCCCCTCCCGCATTTCTGAAGAAGTGTCCAGACCCAAAACATCAGCTTTCCTGTTCCTCTCATGCTGCCTGGCCTGTTGTGTTCATCCAGCTCCACACCTATCTCAGACTCCAGCATCAGTAGTTCCTACTATCTCCGATGTTCAAATTTCTGTTGTTAGCAGTGCAATTTAGCTGGCTGCAAGTTAAAAGGGCAAAAAAACCCTTTCATTCAAGTGGTAGGAGGAACAGAATCAAATGTTAATATCATTAGGTGATGGCACCATTCTAATATTGTAATTCATTCCTCTGCTTCAGTCGCTGAGTATGAACTACACGCGACTCTATCTGCCCTGCCATCAGCTGGTCAATTGTGGAACTATTAGGCGCAAGGAATTCCACTTGAGCTCGAGACTCAATGCTTCACTATAATGCCAAAGTTATGCGTTAGTGTACCTTAGATACACTTTTGGATGATGCATATACCATATTCACTTAGGCAAAAGCAAGTACAGCATAATTTGCCTTTATTGTACAAGTCAATGTATTACTGCAATAACTACACAAAGCTATGTCATTGGTTGCGAAGTGCTTTGGGATGTTGAGATAGTTAAGATGCTACGTAAATAATCTATTAAATTTTAGTCTGCTCTTAAGCACAGCAAAATGTACAACAGGAGATTTATTGCAACATTGCCACGGTTTTTGATAAATTAGCTTGCTTTATCTTAATTTAAACTTCGCTACCGTAAATGTTGCTGAACAATGAACACATTCTCTGCATAACTCAAGAGAAATTCAATGCTATACGGAAAAGATAATTTTGACATATTACCTAAAACTGAACAGATTAATTGGCAACAGAATAAACCATTTTGAAGCGATTCTGAAAAGCAGCTTGCTTTCACACATTTTGTCCAAAGATTGTTGTCACAAACCTTCGCATTTTTTTTTGAGAATCTGATTCTTTCATTGTGAAACAAGTTGTTGAACAAAGAAAATAACAGAGTTAATTAAACAAAGAAACCAAGGTGGTAGGGTTCTCGTGTGGTAAATGTTGACGACAGTATCTTTTACAAAGGTTTCTTGGGGCATATGGTGTTGCTTCACAATTGCATGGCCTGAACAGGTTCTGGTGTATGGCCAGGCCTGATTTCCTATCCATCATCCCAGACTAAGCCAGGAACATTGTGGAGTTTCACCAACCTGTCAAGTCAGGATGGTTAGCAACTTTCAGCAAGTTGAAGGATGGGCAGAGTGCTGTGATGATAGAGACTCAGTTTGTTCTGAACAGCCACTTATCCTTTATCCTGCAAGCTTCCACAAACCACTACAGGGAGATGTTAACTTTTAAACATGTAGACAGCCAAGTAACACTTCAATCCACTTAGTAACAGATTTTTACACCTTGAAGCACTTTACAATGAGGCCTGCTGCACTATGGTACTTTTGCAGTTTGTTTTCTGGAAACAATAATTCTCCAAAAACTAAGTACAATTTGGTTTCCAGGTTATAGGGCACTAAATCTGTGTGAAAAATCGGTATATATTTTGACAAAACATTTTATTTGCAATTTCAATGGTGGAATGTAGTCTTTGTTGTAATGTAGTGAAACGTGGCAGTATATTTGTGCACACCAGTATTTTATGAACAGTACCAGATAAATGACCACATTGTGCTCTTGGGATATGACATGAATGATAAATAAAAGCCAAGTGACTGAGAAAACACTATGTTCTTCTTCGGAGTAATTTTATGGGATCTTTTACACCGAAGAGAGAAGGTGTAATTTTGAATTAACATTTCTTCCAAACAATCAGACTTGTGCTTGTGTAAGATCTTACAACGTTGTGATATCACAAAGTGCTTCAAAGACAATAAAGTATT